GATTTCATGTCAAAATAACTATGTTAGAGCAGAGCTATATATAAATCTAATATATATCCTAAGTCGTGCTTTCGAGACATGAAGAACGCAATTTGAATTTTGTCAATCGGCCCAGTAGAATGGAAGATATAGCACTGTCCCATTCTTTTTTTGGGGGGGGGAGCAGTGCACATGTTAAATTGGCCTTTAGTGCCGATGAACCCACAGTCTGTGGCTGATGTAATAGATCCATACACCCTCAGATTAGACTTTTGAAGAAATATGGCTTTTGCTCAGACGTCAAAAATAATTAACTCTGCATCTCTAATGAAGAAATACAAAGGTTATTTTTTAAATAAGGTCCATTTTTTATAAGAAAAGTACTGTAAATTCCATTAAAATATATCTTTTCACATTCTACATAATTTCATCTACTTTCCTACATAATTTCCATTTTATTCAAACATCTGTGATACCGTTCAGCAAGATTTATGAATTCCAATGGCAAAGAAATGTGCCATTCATGAAGAAGCCTAATTCACAACTGCAGTTTTCAATTCTATGTCATCGTTGACACAAAGGAACTCATTTAAGTAATGAAATAAGTGAAATTGCATTGTCATCGAGCAGCATCTCACTGGAAGACGATATCGCTTACTTTGTATGGCATGCGCGGATTTTCTCAAGGTCACATAATACACATCAGAGTTGACTGCTGTGACTTTAGCATAAAATACAATAACAAAATCTCTTTCCTCTTCTAAAAGACAGTTGCTATGATCATTCATACTGAAATAGTCTATTTGGCTTTCACTTTCGTTGGCAACAATGTGTGTTCCCATTCCATTGACTGTAGCTTGGATTTAGGATTCATGTGAGACATCCAAATCTCATTTCCTATAACGATATGATCAAGATAAAAACAATAAAGCACAGCCCAATCTTTTGTTTTGTGACTGCAAGAAAGCAGTCCTGGTTTGGTTTGGCCTATTTAATTATGGCTAAGCATGCAAGGGCTATTGTAGCAGGCTTGGAACCCACTGGCAACACAATTTTCGATATTTCAGTTTCTCCAAAACAAAGCCTTATCTTGAAACCTGTGGAAAAACAATTGGTAAACTTCAAAATCATAAATCATCAGTCTTCTTGAATTTTACTATCCATATCATAAACCAAATCTTCAGAAGTCTGGAAAGGTTGCCCAGAGCATGGCCTATCGTGAACATTAACCCACCAATGTCCTTGAGCATTCTCACTCATTTTTTAATTTTACTATCAGTCACAATAAACTTCATTAAGTCTGATGGTGAATTTTCACAGCAGCCAAATTTCTTGCACTCAAGAATCAAATTACAGACTGCATTTCACAGTTGAGGTGACTCAATTTTCTTAAGCATTATAAACTTCCACAGCTCAAGACACAGACAGACGAAATGGCTGCAAATGATGATTAAACTCACGCAAAGTATGCTGGGAGCATATCCATATACTAACTGCGACAATCGTGCATCATTCTCACTCTCATTCACAAAAAGACCGTATTTAAAATATAACCTATGCATCGTTGTTGAGTAGACAAAAATGAAATGAGCTGTTATAAGATAATTGCTCATAAGAATATTACTATCACTGATAGGATTGAATGCTTCATCAGCGATAAAGTGGAAACTCGCGAGAAGCTGCACATAGGAACTGCCGATTTCTCTAAAGAAAATATGCATACAAAAGGACTTAACTGCGACTACCTTAATGGACTTAAGAAAAGAGGACATAGCTTCATGTTGCTCAGATAAGTATTGGGTGATGATTCATGGATTAGAAGCAGAGTCCACATGAATTTAAAAAAATATTTGCAGTTACAGAACTAAATGCTGCTCAAATTAAAGCTGCAAGTTGTTTAACAGAATAATTTAAAGACATCTTAAATTTATCTAGTGAGTGAAGTTTTATGGATCAGAAGCAGCATCCACCTGAATTTAAAAACTTATTTGCAACTGCTGAACTAAATGCTAATCAAATTAAAGCTGCATGTCATTTAACAGAAGAATTTAAAAACAAATTTAGTGACATTGGTCACATGAATGTGACACAACACGGGATTGATATTGGAAACCACCCATTTATCAAGTAACATCCTTAGCATCTTACTTTTGCAAAATAGGTGAAAACTTCTGAAGGAGATACAGGCATATATAGAGCCTTCCTCTAGTCGCAGGACATCCTCTATCATCTTAGTTAAGAAGAAACATGCTTTCACACAATTTTGTGTTGACTTCAGACATCTAAAACCATTACAAAGGACTGTTATCCTTTTCCTAGAAGCAATGATACCCAAGACATGCTAGCAAGAAACAAATGATCTTTCCCCCTGGTTTTGAAGAGAGGCTACTGGCAAGTAAAAATAGACCCTAAAGATCAGAAGAAGACTGCCTTTACTGCCAGTCAATACCTCTACCTATATGAACTGTCCTTCATATAAGGAGAGATATTGACTGGCAATAAAAGAGACACATCTGAATGCCTAATGAAGAGTTTTCGAAGGGCTGTCATGTAAAGCTTTGTATATCTTGGTAATATTATTATAATCTTATGCAATTTACAGGAACATCTGGGAAACATCAAAAAAGTGTTGTAGAAGCTCAGAGAAGCCAATTTAAAACTCAGAACTTCAAAAATATAAATTATTTTGATGATCAAAAAAGGAATCATTTACGAAGTACTTAGGCACAAAATCTTTACCTCCACATCATCAAAGAATTAAAAATTTACTTCTAAAGAGGCATTCATCAAATAGGGTTACAATTTTGAAAGACAAATTAAATGGTTTAAAGAGAACTGCCTTCTACAGTAGAAAAGAAAAAAAGCACTAAAAGACATTTATTTAAATTCTGCGTCAAGAAATAAAGACAAGAATCAATTATGAAAGGGTTACAATAATCAAATTTTGAATAGAAATATAAAAAGATAAAATTCCTTCATCTTTTATGTGTATGGTTTAAAAAACAAGTGAATGCGATCACCCGCTAAGGTCAACGACTTGATGTCACAAGTACGTCGGGTCTGGTGACAGGGAGGGGGAAACCCGATAGAAGAGTTGAAAGAAGTCAGTGATCAGCTGATTGATAATAGCAGTTGAATTTCACCCACAATGTTAGTAGTTTTAAGAGCCGAGATGAGATCACCTTTAGCAGGTGGGAACAGGTTTAAAAGCTGCCCTATTAAGGAAGGAGAAAGGATCAATTAAGCAGTTAAGTGCAATCGTGTGCAACTGTGAAAGACTCTTTGTTAAATCAATGCCCTTTGCATTCGAGACTCGGAAGGGATGAAGAATAGCGTTTCACCAGGGCTTCAGGGTTAGAATACTGATGCATTTTGGGAAATGGATTATTAGAATAATCTGGATTGAGAACCACACACTGTCTCTGCCTAGAAGCTGCAACAATTGAATCATAAACAGACACAGCATGTAACACCGAATTTCCAACATAATAAATCTTTTTGAATAAACTTTCCGTAAGTTGCTGTATAAAATCAGAGATTTGTATAATTTGGAGAACATTATGAAGGTCTTTGTTCCTTAACCAAGGAGCAAATTTTGAGAATTTGCCTAAGCAATTTAGACTAATAAATCTGAATATGTTTCTTGTTAGTCAGTGCAGCTGAATGACAGATAAGACTAGATACGTGAGAATTGGCCTTATCTTAGACTTATAAAGCAAAATTTTGTTTGCAAGTGACAAATCGCTATTTCTAGCAAAGAACAGATGCAGATTGGATGTGAAAGCAGTTGTATTTAACTTTTTGAATGTGAAGCTGCCAAGTTAATTGAGAATCAAGTATAACTCCTAGATACTTGGAATTTGGAATCCACAGGATCAGTTCACCGAGAAGTAACAAATTATCCAAATTGGAGGTGTTTCTTCGGATGAACAAAATGGTGGCACATCTGACAAGATTAATTTTAATTTTGTTCTTTCCTTAAAAGAATAACTTAAAACTACAAAGACAGTAATCATTTTATGATGATAGTTTCTCTTCAGAGGCAGTCTGGCCACTGTTCCTTTATCTAAATTCACCCAACGAGTTCCCCCATCCATTCATCCCCAAATTAACTCAAATCCATCCCAGACCCAAATCACTTGCGACGTCAAACTTGTCCTTCAACGAGTTCATGTTCTTAACACCACAAAGACTATTAATCAAGAAAAAATACTTTATATTCAAAATTCAATGATATATAACCCTTTAAAATTAGATTTGGGCCCTTTATCAATCCCAAAATTCAAAGTCTGGGGTTTTTACCTTTTTCTTTTTCACTACGGAAGGCAGTTTTCTTATGTTCTTTTAACAATTCAGCACTAAATTTATATCAACAGAACCCAACTTCTGATAATAATTAAAATTTTGCCTAATGATGTGGGAGATAAAGGCCAATTGCCTTCCTGCCCTATAAACAAACCTTTTCTTGGTTAGAAATCATTTTATTTCTTTGATTCCAATACTGAAAAATAACAGTATTTCAGTTTAATTGTGAAACATTTCTAATGATGTTTCCAGCACCTTTTTCAGATACAACATAAAATTGACTGTAATATACAAATTTCAAACAAAATCTATTACAGCTTAAGGGCTAATTGTGTTAAGCCCTTAGGAAGATTTTCAAGATTCTCAAAACCTGTTCACACTCACACGGCATGTAAAGAAAACTATAAAAGCAGCTAACTCAAAATTCAGAAATAAAACCATAAAAAGACTACTAGATTTTTGAAGCATTACTCATCCTCTAAAAGGGAATTAATTTCACAATGTGGTAAACTCTCTTTAACATGACCACTTATAGTTCGAGGTAATTTTGGTCTTCTGAAGGATGATCACATTAGGCAGAAAACTATCAATACCAATGTCTGTTTACATTTGCAAAAATACTCGTCACTTTCAGAGGGAATTGCTTTAGGGATTGAGTCTCCATGAAAGGGTTGACTGTTCTGTATTTTTTAAAAGAAATATACTTTCTTCCCTACCTTTGCTTTTCTTGCTTATGTTTTCAACAGCAGTTTCCATGGCAAGTTGCTTAGAAATACCTTCCATTCTATCTGGAATAAGGCATGGTATCTTCTGCTGTTAGAGAAATAACATGATTACAACATTTAAAAAGACTTTTTTAATCAACTGAAAAAAAAAATTTTTTAATATATATATATATATATACTAAATTTCTAACTTCTATAAAAATATGTGGAAAAAAGTACACACACCAAACATGTGTACCAAACAAGTATACAAACCATACATAGAAAGAGAGACAGAATGAATGATTAGATTTATTTTAGAGCAAGAAACGAAAAATCAGCAATGTCCTAGCCAAGATTTGAACTCCAGATCCCCTGATGCTAGCTAGACATGCATCATGAAGGCACAGAGCACAGAGGAGGAAAATTCTTTACACACACATATATATACAATAAATATAAACATAATATGTAGTATTCTACTTGTATAGTGTTATGTACTAACTGTTTTTCTTCTATGAAGAATATGTTTTTGTTGCATTTGGCAATATCTTGTTCTTGCCGCATGTTGGCTAGAACGCCACTCATGTAAACTACGCACTTGCCATTTTTGTTTTTTGCCCATATCGACACGCTAAACATTCAGTCAATTCAATAAATAGTTAAAGTTCTAAATGTTTATGTTTAATTCATCATCGAAAAACACAACACATTCATATTCACATTATTTTTGGTCCGTCAAGACGGATGATATATTATTTGAAAACCTATGGATTACTATCGCAAGTTGGATTAATACACAATTCACACGCTTGAATGGTTGATAAGTAAATTCTTGACTTACTTATTGATTGGCTGAATTAAAATCTGCTAAAACAAATAAAAAAGTGTAAAATCTAATATATCAACGTTTAAAGAAAAAGTAAATTCAACTATTAAAGAAGCAAATACAGACTTGCTACAGTCATATGAATCTAAAATTTCATGTTTTCAAACAGAACAAATTTTTTGATTCTATATTCTCGCATTGTGATGATATAAACATTGACGCATTCATACCAGAGAAAGAAACTATACTAGACAATTTAGATGAAATTAATTTGATAATAAAAAACATTTAAAATCCAATTATGTAAAAACTAATACCAATAGAACATTTCGCCTAAAGACATTTCTGTTTCCGAAGTAAAGTTACCAAAGTTATTGCTTCCTACATTTAGTGGAAAAATTGAAGAGTGGATTGAATTCGAAGATTTATTTTTCGCAGCAGTTCATAAGAACAAAACTTTAACTGCAAAAATTTCAATATCTGAAAATTTCTTGTAAATCAGATGCCTTAGAAATTACTCATTCTATAATATCCATTTGCGATGCAAATTACAACATCGCATGGAATTTATTGGTTGAACGCTACTTAAATAAAAAAGATCTGATAAATTCAGTAATTAAAAGTTACTTTCCTTACTGCAGACATGTGATTCAGCCCCTTCACTTTTAAAATTTGTTGACAATATAAATGAATGTATAAGATCTTTGAAAGTGTTAAAACAAAATGTGAATGGTTTCAGCAATACGCTAATTCTTTATGTATTAGTTGAAAAGCTTGACAAAAATACAAGATGCTGCTGGGAAAGAACGGTTACGAAGGATGAAGTAGGAACAAACAGACAGTTAACATCCTTTTTAAAAGAACTTTCGTGCACTTTGCAGCATAACAAACTTCTAAATTGTGAAACATTCTTTTAATTCATAAGCATTGACATCTCTTTTAGAAAATTCGAAAACTTGTTCTTACTGCAAAGGTGATCACATATTATTAAAACGTAATCAGTTTCTGAATTTATCGGTTAAAAAAAGATTCAATTTTGTAAAGGCAAAGAAACTCTGCTTTAACTGTTTATCATCGCTTATACGATTAATTCTTGTAAAAGCATTAACACATGTAAAAAGTACCATAAATATCACCATAGATTATTGCATTTAAAAGGGGAAGATTACAAAATCACCAACATAGCATCATCGAATTCGTGGAATTATAAGCCCTAATTTGAGCAAAAATCTTTCGTACTCCTTCTACGGATAATTACAGGATTGGCTCCAATGGAAATAAACAATCCACTTTTAATAGCAGCTACGCAATGACTAGGCCCTTAGGCTGCAATGACTACGTGTTGTAATAAACAAGTAATACTTCCCATAGATATAATTCATGTTAAAAAACTTTGATGGGAATTATATCGCTTGCCATACTTTGATTGACAACGGCAGCCAAAATAATTTTCTCTCAAGGCGATGTGTTCAATCATTAAATCTACAAAGAAAAAGAATAGATGCCTTTATATCAGAATTAAACGGAGTTAATATAAACTAAAAAAAAAAAGTGTAGTCGCAACAATTGCTAACACAAATAAAAGTTATATTTACACTTTAAATTTTTATGTTGTTCATGCACAACACCTGCCAAACATCTAAACATTATGCATCTGATTGCATAAAGAACAATTAATTCGGCAGATCCAAAATTTTATAAACCGGCCCAATCCATGTTTTGTTGTTAAATGAAGTTTTCTTCGAATTGTTAGGAACAAATAAATTAAAAAAATAAGATTTGATTTTTCAAAAATCCATCTTTGGATACATTGCAAGTGGTTCTATACATATGCCACAAGAAAACAATCCTAGTAATTATTGTGGGCATGTTAATTTAGTTGATGATTTATCTAACACCTTAAAAGTGTTTTGGGAAATCAAAAAGGTCCATGAAACCAAATAATTGAAAAGTAAAGAAGAACAATTTTGCAGAGATCATTTTCTTCATATGCACTATAGAAGAGAGGATGGGAGATACATCATAGAAATGCCGATTAAAGATGATGGGCTACACAATTGGGGAAGTGGAAGGAAAATAACAAAAAATTATTTACTTAAGCGTTTCTCACACTATTCAACTTTGAAAACTTTGTATGAAGAATTTATTAATGAATACCACTACCACACATTGGGACACTCGAAACAAATTTCTAATTTAGATAACTCCAGTTTTTCATATTACATGCCTCATCACTGTATTTACAGACCAGATAGACTTAGTACTAAATTATGAGTGGTGTTTGATGCAAGTTCTGCTACAGCACGTGGACTTTCCCTAAAGAATATTTTATTAAACAGTAGGATAGTTCATCTTTAACAAGAGGTGGAATGAACTATTCCACCTCTTGATTATTATTATCCACCCACATTAGCTCTTGATATTTAACAGAATGCACTATTTGTGCCAGAGAATGAAACTCCGCCACTTTGGAATATTTAAAATAACATGAGCTCAAATTTAAATTTAAATATGAGAGACTACACAAAGTCACTTTATGTTAGTCAGAAACTACACAAAGTGATCTATTTCAGCTGGCTCAATTAATTTACAGTGCATTTTCAAAGTTGGCTAGCTAAATGGCTACAGCCAGAATAAACTTTGACACAGCTAGTAACAGGACATGAATTGTAATCGAGGTTTCTAACTCTAAAATAGAAGTTCTAACTCTAAAATATTCAAACTCTTGGCTTGAATACTCCACAACTAATTTGCATTCTGATGAAGACTAAAGAAAGAGGTTATAGTATTTTAAATAATAATAATAATTTGTTAATTAATGTGAAAACCTATGACTGAATATTCTTATTTCATAAATAAATATAGCTCACCTATAAGAAACATATTTAAAAAGTAAGTTATATTTGCAAAGAGCCCTTGTACAGCGCTGCAACTAGCTTTTTCCACATTGTGTAGCAAATTCCTCCATTCACTAGTGGGCCATAAATGCCATTTAATGAAACTCTATTATGTTTACATTTACTCATGTGCATTAAATATTTTAAAGTACCCTGTAATATTTAAATTTTAAAGCACCATGTTAAAATATATTTTTAAGTATTATAATACTTAAATTTTAAATTATTAAAATATATTTTAAAGTACTCATGTGCATTAAATATTTCATTTAATATGTATAATCTTAAGAACTGAAACACGAGTTTTAATTCATTTAAAAAAAAACCTAAGATTATGATTAGGATGATTTGATGAACACCCCGCATACGGCCTTCTACATGAACAGCGAGCTTTTTTGCCTCTCTATCATGCAACTGTGAGTTGAGATTATAGAATAGAAGAGAATGTTACGATAATGGATGTTACATGCTGTATGCCAGCAGAATATTATATTACTAACTTTATGTAAACTATATTTGTTTTTGTCAGCATTTTAACAACATCCTATTAACACCTATGCTATATGAAAATGCCCATATCACATCATGTTTTTGTTAAATATATCTTGAACCCACCCCACAACAGATATACAATAGTGGTGTCAGAATGACAGATATATTTATAACCGATTACGATTCCTGAAATAAGCATCAAAAGTCCATAAGACATTTGTTATTATGCAAGTGATTCATCAGAAAAAGCAAGAAGTATTTTGTTCAATTCATTTTGTTCGAAACTGAAGTTTAAACATAATGAAAGTGGCTGAAGCAGAACTTGCAAAATTCAAGAAAGAACAAAAAGTTATCTGTTCAGCCATAACTAAACTAACAGGCTTCACTGGATTTTTAACTGCTTCTTGTAATATTGAAGACATAGAAGAACAATTAGAAATTTTTAAACTAAAAGCAGTTTCTTTGAAAGAGTTAGATGAAAAAACAAATTTAACAGATGTAAACACCATTGAAACCGAAATCGAAAATGCCCTGGAATACAAAGAAAAGATTGCAAAATGGCATTCCAGGAGCATAAAATTGTTAAATTAAAAAGGAAGTTGTAGTAAGATAATGTGTAATGGGAGTCAAATGTTAAAATATTTAAATCCTCAAATCATCAATTACGACTAAGATTACGTTGTGTCCGCAATAAACTATAGATACATATAAAAGTGAGATGAAATGTGAGATCTAGGAATGAAAACATAATTAAAAAACTTACGCAGAATAATGAGAACCAAAAATATCACAAGTGAATTAATTATATTTTTTTCAGCATCACTATTTTAGATTGAACATTCATGAAAATTTAAATGATAGCATTACCCACATAAACAAATAGAACACGCT